TCAAGTCCAGGGGCCGGATTTCCACGTTGGGGAAGCAGCTCAGCAAGGAGAAAGCCCAGTGCTTGGGTAAGGAGGCGTTCCCTTTGGCCAAGCCTTTCATGAGCACCACAACTCTTGACATGGGGTGTGTCCTGGCCGCTGACTCCACAGAGCACGAGAACAGGTAACCTGGGGAAGTTTGCTCTGAGGTCTCCACAAAAAACACATTTCCTGTGGGAGGAGAGGGCCCAGCAGCAATGTTGAGGGCAGAAGGCACATAGTGAGCACAGCTGTTCTCAGCAGACAAGCTGTGGGTGGGGGCTCTGCTCTTTGGGTCCTCCCAGACGCCCCAGTACAACTTGTCGTAGGCAAAGGATAGAAACCCAATGATGAGGAGAAACAGGGCCCAGGGCTTGTGGCTGAGCACCACCCTGGTCAGCTTTAGGAGGCAGCTGGGCGTCCTGAGCATTCTTTCTCCAGCCAGAGTATGCTCTCCCAAGATAGCCTGAAGGGAAGGAAAGAAAAAAACCTGACAGAGGAGGCAGTGGAGTAAGAGCCTTTCTTCACAGGTGTGTCCCAGCTCCATAGCAGTGCACAACAAACTTTGAGAATGCCATTAGATAACTCATCTCTCATCCTCTAGGACTTCCAGTCATTTTGAACATGAGACATATATGCAGAAAACTCTGGGAGGAGGAAACCAAACAAGTCGCTAACAGGACAGAGAACTCCGCTGACACAGTTCCGTTTGTCATTTCTCCCTTGATCACTGCACCTGGGTCACATATGGAACTTCTTATGTGGCCAAAAAATGGCTTCTTAGAGGCAGTGGGAGGTGTCTTAATGCAAGTCACTGTGACTTCAGGGACAGAGGAGAGGCAGCCTCTATTCAAATTATCAGCTTTGGATTGTCAGCAAGTTTTCTCGTCCGGCAGAGAAATGCCAGCATGCGCTGCCAGTGCTACAGGCAGCAAAACCCAGCTCACCCTGCCTTTTACAGACCCCTTTACATTCCCCACCCTCCACACACCACAGCTGGGTTAACCCTGTAAGTCATTTTTTGAACTGCAAAAGACAAAGAGGCACAGACTTGGTGGGACAGAGCCGGTGATGTAGAGAAGGCACAAAACTCACCTGCTCCTGCTTTCAAGACACCACAGAACTCCCTGCTCAGCTGAAAGGATATTTAAGAAATTAAAGTCTATGAGGATGACTACAAGTCTATAGTCTGACACTTGCTTTTTATGAAAAGGAATTGCGAGCATATGGAAGAAAAAAAAATGGAAGGATGTGAATCATACATCCATAATGATACAAAGGTCACAAAGATGCAACGTGAACAAACCAGTTAGTTAAAAAGTAATCAAAAAAAAAAAAAAAAAGGGGAGGAAATTGAAACCCAACTGTTGCTACACTTTGAGCTTGAGACTGGCAGGAAAATGGCTCGATTTGTTTTCTCCTCCTTTGCTAAAATTTCCCAGTGCTCACACTGCTTCTGGGGCTGCTGTGATAACTGTGTTGAGCCTTCCATAGAGCTGCCTGCTCCCACCCCAAGCCCTAAGTACAGAACGCCTCCTTGGAAACACACACTTTTAACCAAATGCTTTACTCCTTAATTAGGGAATACTCCCTCATACACCAGGGACCTCACTGAAGGACTTTGCCACATTCAGGTGTCTCTCATTCTATGACAGTTCCCCCTTGCCCACATGATCAGGGGTGGCTGACCTTCCCTAGCATGAGACATGCTGGCACATTCATAAAATCCCTCCTTTATCAGAACAGCCACTCAATTCAGGGATTACTGCAGTTCCTCCTCAGTTGCGTAAAACAAATGTCTCCCTGTAGTGCCCCAGACCTCTCTTCTCTTCCCAAATCCTTCCATGCACAGCAGCACCATGGATGGACTCATGACAACCCTTCTCCCAGCAAAGGGACTCCACAACCACTCTGGGCTACCTGATCCAGTGTTTCTTCCTTTCATTCTAACTTGCCACACTTCAATGTGTGCCCATTGTGTCTCCTGCCATCTCTGCGTTGGACAGAGTCGAGTGTCATTTGTGTCCTTCAGCCACAGAATCACAGAATAATGAGGTTGGAAGAGACCTCTAAGATCATCAAGTCCAACTTCTGCCCTAACACCTCAACTAGTCTATATCACCAAGTGCTACATCTAGTGTTTTTTTAAACACATCCAGAAATGATTCCACCACGTCTCTGGGAAGACAGTTCCAATATGTTATTTTTTCTTTCAGTGAAAAATTTTTTCCTAATATCCAACCTATACCTTCTCTGATGTAGTTTGAGACTGTGTCCTCTTGTTCTGTCAGTTGCTGCCCAGTGGAAGAGACCAACCCCACCTGTCTACAGCCTCCCTTCAGGAAGTTGTAGAGAGAAATAGGGTCACCTCTAAGCCTGCTCTTCTCCAGGCTAAACAACCCCAGTTCCTTCAAACGTTCCTCACAGGAATTGTGTTCCAAGCCCCTCACCAGCCTCATTGCCTCCTCTGGACGCGTTCAAGCATCTCAGCATCCTTCCCAAATTGAGGGGCCAGAACTGGGCACAGCACTCCAGGTGTGCCCTCACCAGTGCCAAGCAGAGGGGAAGAATGACCTCCCTGCTCCTGCTGGCCACACAATTCCTAATGTAGGCCAGGATGCTGCTGGCTTCTTGGCCACCAAGGCACACTGCTGGCTCATGTTCAGCCGGCTGTCGACCAGCACCCCCAGCTCCCTTTCCACCTGAACACTGTTCAGCCACACCGTCCCCAGCTTGTAATGTTGTAGGGGATTTTTGTGGCCAAAATGTAGAACTTGGCACTTAGACTTATTAAACTTCATGCTGTTGGACTCTGCCCATCTATCCAACCGATCTAAGTCTCTCTGCAGAGCCCTCCTTCCTTCCAATAGATCAACACAAGCTCCCAGCTTAGTGTCGTCTGCAAATTTACTAATGAAGGACTCGATGCCCTCATCCATGTTGTCTATAAAAATATTAAATAGAACTGGTCCCAGTACAGAGCCCTGAGGTACCTCACTGGTGACTGTCCCCAGCTGGATGTAGCAACATTCACCACCACTCTCTTGGCCCAGCCATCCAGACAGTTCCTGACCCAGCGAAGAGTCTTGCCCAAAGTGTGGGCTGTCAGCTTTTCTAGGAGTATTCTGTGGGATATTCAAATGTCAAAGGCCTTGCTGAAGTCTAAATAGACAACATCCACAGCCTTTCCTGCATCCACCAGATGGGTCACCTGGTCATGGAAGGAGACCAGGTTGGTCAGACATGACCTACCCTTCATAAACCCCTGCTGGCTGGGTCTGATACCCTGGCCATCCTCTAAGTGCTGTATGATAGCCTTCAGTATGAACTGTTCCATTACCTTACTGGATATTGAGGTCAATGCTAACTAGCCCGTAATTATCAGGATCTTCCTTCCTACCTTTTTTATAAACAGGTGTCACATTGGCCAGTTTCCAATTGTCTAGAACCTTGCCAGTGAGCCATGACTCTTGATCAATGATGCAGAGTGGCTTTTCAAGCTCATCTGCCAGCTCCCTCATCACCCTAGGGTGGATCCCATCTGGTCCCATTGATTTATAAATATCCAAGCATCCCAGCAGTTCTCTGACTGCCTCTTCTTGGATAATAAGAGCACCATTCTGCTTCCTGGCACCACCTATTCACCCACCTTCAGCCAGGTGTTTCACAGCCTGAGCAGACAGCCCAGCCTGCTCCAGTGCAAGAAAAGTCAGCAGAGCCTTCCCAGCCTCTCATCATGCACCGTGTGCTCCAGTCCCCTTCTCACCTTAGCCGCCCTTTGCCGGACTCACTCCAGTACGGACGCGCCTCCCTCATCCTGGGATTCCAGAACCAGCTTCCAGGTGTGTCTCACCAGTTGTGAGTGGTCCACAAGGAGTGGTGGGCAAGGATCACCCCCCATGACCTTGCAAGACACGTTCCACAGGCTGTGAGGATATCTGCTGGCTCCTGGTCAGCTAATGATCCAGGGGACCACCATGCCCTTTTCTGGTCAGGGCCTTCCATCAAAATGCTGTCTATAATTTTCATGGTCTTGCTTATTAGATTTAAAAGCCACATTAACCAATACATGGTTTGAAATATGTGAACAAAAAATGTGTCCAAACAAAAATTGTGAAATGCAAAGAGACACCTCACAGCACAATGTAAACCCTGATATAGAAATATCATCAAGGATCTCTTGTTCCAAGCACAAATGGATAAAACAAAGAAAAAAGACATAGGGCTGCCATCACAGACGATCTTTTAACTCCACCATGCAAAGACTGCCACCAGCCTGCTGCTGATAGATCTGCACATGCTCACGCCTACTTTTAGTCTCTGAGGAAAGTGATTTCCTGCCTTACATGACTAACATGACATTTTCCTTGGTAGCAAAATCACAGACAGCAAAAAAGGGAAACAACAAACTAGATGGAAATTGAATGATTGACTGAGGGTACAACATGAATTGTGCATGAAGCCAACTTACATGAAGCCAAAAAAGCATCCTGCACTCCTGCAATCCTTAACTTTTCAAATTTTAACAGCAGATATTCAGAAGTCCCTCAAACCTGGCAAATAATTCCTAATAAGAAAAAACCTTGATTACTGAGTGATATTCTTATAAAACATCATATGGTCTACATGACATATGATGTCATGTAGAAATAGTGATAACAAATGGAACAAATTAACTGTAAAAATTCTTTAAGAGTATGCATTTGTGATGTCAGACAACAAAATGTTACATTCTCACTTTGCAATGAAAGCATTTAGGATTGTTTTTACATAATTACATTAGAACTGTGTAATTCTCAGAGTATGAGTTTTGCAGAACGTCTCAAAACCTCCAAGCCTAAATCTTACCATACCAAGTAAAACCAAGTGTTTTAGCCAGAGGTGATCAGATGATTACAGGAAAACTGCAGTTGTCCATATCACAGAAGTGCAAGTGTTTTTTCAAAACCAGAATGTAAATGAAGGATCTCAATAAGGACTTCACTATTGTTTCCCTCCTAGGATTTAATTGATACAGCTTATACCTAGGTAATTAGGAGAGTTAGCCTATGAAGCTGGATGGGCCTGCAAATTAGCAGAAAATTATAGGAAAGAGGGTGCAAGGGGATGATCTAACTATTAGCAAATATATGTGTATCTATTGATATATTATATAGAATTGTGAGAGATAGGTGACCTTTTGTTCGTTTAGTTTTTAACTAAAATGGATTTGCAGTAATTCTTTGTTGCCCCTTAGAACATGCAGAGAAACTGGTTAGAGATGGTTTTGCATCTTGAGCAAGATGCTTTGCTTGATCCCAACATTTTCAAGCAATAGCTGGGCCCTCTTTTGGCCAATTCAACTGTCATTCCTGCAGTTCTGGGCACTAAAAATATCCTTCTGGGTTTAGGGAAAGTACTGCAGGGGTAGCAAAGCAGAGAGTGGCAGCTCTTGCAGCAAGGGACCCAGTCCTGGAGGAGTCTAGC